GGGGGGGGGGGGGGGGGGGGCACACACACATGACAAGGAAGGCCTTTGGTACGGTGGGGGGGCTGGCTAGGGCAGGCCCAGCTGCATCAGCTTTTTGTGTGAAGCGCGGGGGGGGGGAGTTGTCGCTCACCACATCCTTTGCCTGTACAGTAATAACTGGAGGGGCTGACGTCACCCACCCTTCTTGCCGGCTCTGGAGCGGAGAGGTGAGGTTGGCGTCTTGCTCAGCGAAGGAGTTCCTGGCCTTCAGGAGGGGCATTTACTGTAAGTCTGGGGAGAGCCCCTCCGACAAAATGGCCACCCGGGACCGTGGCGGGGGGGAGGGGAGGGGAGGTGGCCCGATCCTGTGGCTGCCTTGCCCTGGGGTGGCCTGGCCCCAGGCCGGCTGGGCCAGGCCGCCAAGCGTGTGGCTGAAGGCCTGGCCATGGAAGGGCGTTCCCACCCCCACTAGGCCCCCATGGGGGGGGTGAGCAGGGAGCGCCCGTCACAGCACAGGCCTTGGCTTCCGTGCTGGGATGGCGCCCCTGCAGTAGATGGGAGCAGCCAAGGAGCCCGGCTAAGGGGCTGGGGGGTTCCCACCCGCCCGTCTCGTGTCCAGGAGACCCCGGTCGGTCCTTCATTCCCAAAGAGCGGGTGGCTTGGGGGGTCCGGTGGGGGGTTCAGGGCAGGCACTCTAATGATGCACCCTAGAAACAGCTCCCCTGCGCCATCGGCATATTTGTGGGGTTTGTAAAATGCAGAGCAAACATTTTAGCTTGAATTCTCATTGGCAATGATTAAATACGCAACAAGTGCAGTAGAACCGTCACGGAAGTGGAGAAATCAGACCCAGCAGGGACAATATAGGAGACGGGTGTGTTTTACGAAAGGATTTTCCATGTTAGTTGTCAGTTTGTGTCTTGCAAAGAGAAGACTTAAATCCATTGTCTGTACCAAGCTTGTTATGCAAAAAGTTCTGGTGGCCGACTTATGAAAACAAATTATTTTCTATACATTTTTCTCAGGCGTACATTTTTTTAAACGTAGCCAGCATAAAAGTGTCCCGTGCTTGGCAATTGCCTTCCCCCCCCCCCCCAGCTGTTGCTGCATCTTGTCCAGGGTCTGTCCTAAAATGCCCCTTTCTGCAACTCTGGAGACAGAGCTGCAAACTGCGGCTGCTTGGAACCTCCCCCAGAAACGTCTCCATCTTGGGATCCTTTCCGACTGTGGGGAGTGAGAGGGGGTGCCCCGCCTGTTCTCTGACCCCAGGGGCAGGCCCTTGGTCACCAGGTGTGGCTCGTTCACACATTCTCGTACTAAAATTCAGAGGCATTTCGTGCCTTCATGATGATGCCACACGAGAGGGTTCTTTCCTTGGAAGGCTTAATGGCCTTAACAGATTATCAGAAGGTTTTGTGGTTCTTTTAAGACTGGGAAGAACAATGGCTCGGTTTCAGAAAGGGAATTTATCTACTGATTTCACTTCGTTTAAAGCCCACCTTTATTGTTGAGACTCAAGATGGTATGCAGACTTCAAAAGCAACACGTACGAGAAGCGATTGACTAAAACTATATCACAAAATTAGAGAATAAGGAAATAAAAATAGTATAATACATCCAATAAACAATACAAAAGGGAAGAGCTGTTTTTCAGATGCTGAAACTGCCACAGCCTTTATCAAAATGCCTCCCCCCCACACAACTCCACACTTTCAGTGGAACACTAAAATCCTAGTCCTCATGCCCTTGGGCAGCCTGTTCTGTCAGGTAGGAGCCACCCCAGAGAACGCTCAGGTGGGGCAGCGGTTGAGCTTACCCCGTTGCGGGGCGGCACCTTCAGAAGGCTTTGCCCGGAAGAGCCAAGGCCAGAAAGGAGGAGCCCCAGCAGGGCATGATTGACTAATCCCCGTCAGTTTGGGGGAAACCCGTTCCCAGTTTGAACCCAGCCTGCTCCTGTACGAAGCAGCGGAATCTAAAGGCAGTCACATTCCCCAGGGAGGGAGGGAGGGAGGGGCCTTGCTGCGACAGTAGCCCTGGGAGAGGATTTCGAGCCCTCTGCTGAGCAGCAAAATCCTGTGGTCAGATCTTGGAAGGGTACCTTGTTCCAGAGGGAGGGGAGGGTTTTGTCTTGTCTCTCATTTTGGGGGTGACAGACTTCCCGGGAGTGAGAGAGAGAGCCAGCCAGGCAGCCTGGCACCGTGGGGTGCTGGGCCAAGGGTCAGGGGGACCTGGGCGCAGGTGGCTACTCTGCCATGGGGGGGGGTCTTGGGCCAGTCCCACAGGGTCCAAATGGAGGCGGGAAGAATGACCTCACGCCACCTGGAACTCCCAGCAAATACGGGAGGGGATAAAAACGTCCTAGATGGACTTTAAAATCTAACACATGGGGGGGGGGGGGAAATGGTTATTGCTGACAGGGTATTTTTGTACGGGCGAATGAATGTGTGAATCCTCCCCTCCATCGGCCGGTCCGCTTCCCACCTCAGGATTCTGCTGCTATCTCATTTGGCTGTCAGGCAAGTCTGTTTATCAGGCCAGGAGAGGAGAGGCACAAAAAAACAAACCTCCAAAGGAAGTCTAGAAAACTTACTGAGGACCAAAAGTTGAAAACATAAGTAAGTGTACACAAGAGTGTTTATTACAAAGACATATACAAACCTAGTAGGGGCCCAAATAAAGCCTCATAAAATGTTCAAGGTTAAAAACACACACACACAAGGACAGTCACAGACGCGTTCCGGCTCACAAGAGCCTTCTTCACAGGTCAAATAGTGCAAAATATAGCAAGCCATAGAGTCCCTGTAACACATGCAGGGCAATTCACAATAAATAAAACAGGACCAAAACTGGAACATTCCAATATGGAATTGAATGGCACACCAAAAGGTTTCTCTTTGGGGCCACAAATGTATCTGGCCTTGTGTCAGAAGGAGCTGTATACACTGGAACTTATCTGTACCTTCCAGTTTTGGTAGGTCCTAAGAGTGCAAATAAAATTGCCTTTGTGTCAGGGACAATGTGCCCACCCCTATGTCCCGGTCAGTCCATCGGCTTTTGCCGTCTGTCCCCTTCTTGCCCAGGTCTGGAGGGCCCAGGGCCGCCTGACCTCAGGAGCTGAGCGGAGTTTGGACTCGGGAAGGGCTCTCGGCTGGGAGGCCCAGCCAGGGCCGCCACGCAGAGGCAGGCGACGGCACACCACCTCCGGTGGCCTCTCACCCTGGGAGCCTTAAGGGGGTCGCCATCATCGCTCCGCTGTGACCTGACGGCACCCTCCAACCCCACATTGCTTATTGCAGGTTAGTCTGGTCAGTGGAGGCTGCCTCCTCCTTCCGTGCCTCCTCCTCCTCGGGGCTTCATCAGCCTGGCCATAGTCCGCTGCCGTTGGGGTGATGCTTCTTTAGAGAGTTAGCAGAAGGGCCAACTGGACCCTTGCTCCGACGACAGGCCTCTCTCACTGGATTCCGTCAGGAGGCCCCCGCCCTCCCCGTCTTCTGCTGAATCACCTACTTAAAAAGAAAAGTGAAAGGCAACATTAATGCTCCTGTAAATACTTGTCAGGGGTAAAAAAAAAAAAAAAGAAAAGACCAAAAAAGCTTTAGAGGTGCTGCCAGGATGGGGGGAACGGGTGGGGTGGGGGTGATGAAGTTGCAGGCGTCCGCCAACCAGCACTGCACACAACCAGCTGCTCAGCTGCAAACGGGGGACGTCCTGCCTGCCTGCCTGCCTGCCTGCCGTGCTCTTCTGGGCGAGTGTGGTTTGGTCTCTGTGGCTTGACCACTCAAGTGCTGCCCGCGTCGGTGTGCTTCCTCCTGGTGCCAAACAAGCCTGGTGCTCTGTCCCCTGGAGTGCAGTTTGGTAGCAGCTGGCTGGGCTGGGCTGTGGCGTGTGCGCTTCTGAAAGTGCTCCCACGTAGTCATTCAAAAAAATCCCCCTCCCACACACTTGGGGAGCCCTGAGCCGGCGGCAGAGCAGTTGTTGGCCTGGCTGACTGGGTGGTGGTGGTGGTGGTCCCAGCCAGGTCTCTCACCCAGCTCCTGAGGGCCGAGGCCAGACCCCTGCTGCCCCCCTGCTGGCCTCCAGCGCCCCTGGGCAGGGCACCCCCCCCCCACGCACTCC